CAGCGGAATATTGACTATTCCAACAGAACTCAATGGGATTTACAAAATGCTAAATAAAACACTACAGGAACGGTTTTTCTTTACGAAACTTTTTTTGGAACATAATTGAACAGTGCTGACGACCCGGTGAGTAGCATATTTAAAAAAAAGAAAGTTTAAGGTTGTTTTAAGGACATTATCGAACATGCACTATGGAAGCCGTTCTGAAGCAGCCAGGGGGGGATTCTGCATGAGCCAAAAAGCAGAGACAGGACCAGTTGTCAAAATTTTGGTGTCGATCATTCGATTTCATCCTGGACACTAAAGAAAATGGGCTTAAAGTGTTAAAAACCGGAATTCTCCTTTAAGGGGAGTAATCCTGACCAATGGCAGCTATTGGTTAGGGTTGTAAACTGCTCCACTTGTGAAGAGCGGTTTCATCAGACCATTTAGTTAACAAAAATTATTTAAAAAAAGAGAAATGGGAATTGATTAAAACTGAAATCAGATTAGTGCTTTGAGATTAATGCATTTCATAAACCTGGATTCAGCAAAGACATCTTTTATCAGATCAAAAAGTCACTAACTCTCTGCTGCTGGACTTCCTTGATGAAGCGGTTTATATACAAAGGCTGTAATAAAGTGATAATTTCACTGTTATTAAGAAAAACACAGTTGTGTTGACTGCTGGTAGTTTGTTTAGGCTGTGAAGCTGCAGTAAAGTGTGTTTAACACAAAAATTGTTAGTTGGAAATGAAGCTTGTTTTGGGGTTGTTCCATTATAACTTGGAATACATGAACTGGAATTAGTCCTTATATAAACCCAAAGTGTAACTTTAGTTTATTTGCTGTGACCAAATATAAAAATGCTGCATCTCCAGGAAACTGTCTATAGATGTAGAAAAGGTTAAAGAGGTGCTGCAATTTATCTATCATGTTGCTTTTAAGATTATTTCGTCATCTTCAGTGTCACCTTAAAAGCTTTAAATGTTTTGACTGTTTCCAACCAAATAATCCTGCCGTTCTCCCTGCTAAGTGTTTCATTTATGTGATATTTTATTTTCCCTTCTATTTGAAGTGACTTGTGTTATAATTTTTTGTGACTCAGAGATTTGCTGCTGCAACCTTCCTGCCTCGCCCTGATCTCAGTGATTATCTTTACATGATGCAGCCTTTACATGGTGGCCACCCATCATTCCTTTCATCTCCACACTCAGACTGCTCCGTTTGTCTGATTCCATTTATGCATCAGTAACCATCTGACATCCTGGATGTTGCCTAAACAGAAGAACTAAAGCCTTCCCTCTCAGATCACTGTTTCTGGGTAAAAGTCACCGTCCTGCTACCCTCCTCTCTCCAATTATACCTGATAATCTGCAGATAAATTTAATCAAAATACTTTAAATACATATAAGTACCACAAAGAAAGCAGCGGTGGATGACAGATGACTGTTCCTGTTCTAAATAACCTCTTAGTGTTTTGTTTTCTTTACTTTTTTTGGTTCCACCTCTCATTTGACTGAAGTTGGTTGTGTTGCGTGTTTTTTTTTTCTCTTAAAAATGGGGCCTTGCTTCACAGTAAGTTTGAGCTGTGATAATAAAGGGGAAATTAAAAAGCATTTAAATGTGTCATACAATAAAGAAGCATTGGATAGATTTGATATGAGCTCAGGTGGACTTCATTTTAGGGTGACTTTGAGGTGCACTGCAAGAAAAACTGGCATCAAGCTGGTTTTCAGGAAGATGATGGTCTGAATCAGTGCAACTTTCTAATAACGGGCTCATAGAAAATCATTAAAAGTCATTAAATTCTTATTTTTAAATTTAAGGCCTTAATTTGTATAAAATGCACTAAATGTGATTATAGTGGCATTTAACAGGCTTTATATATAAAAAAAAGTTTATTAAAACAATTTTTTCAGATATATCAGATATAACTATATATGAGAGTCATGGGTACTTGTTGATGGCATTAGTTTTATTTCTAAAAGCATCAAAAGAGCATTAAAAAGCATTAAATTAGAGTTACTTATTCCTGTATAAAAGCTGAATAATTATTGCTGATTGTTTTCCTCCCTTTGAGAAGAGCTTAATTATTAGTGAATTTACCAATAAAACTTTGCTGTTTACTCAGTCGTTCTGCTATCGGCTGCCCTGTGGACATCAGTCTGTCAGATGGAGCTGCGCCCACACAGGGGCAGGGCAACATGTTGTCTGAGTCACTTCTTGATGTCAACAACAGAAACCTTCCTTCTGGTGGAGCTGATTGCTCAGATTAACCCTCAGAATGAAGCTGTGGCTTTCTGAGACCGAGGACCTGAGCTTTTCCCCTCTGTTGTGGGTTTTATATCTATGTACCAAATAACCATGCATTGCTACTTTTACAAAATCAAAGATTATCAAAAATAAAAAGTTTTTAAATATTTTTTATCTTTTTATTCATCACTTTATCATCCTGACTGAAAATCATCTGCAGGGATTCTTAGCTGTGCCTCTTTTAAAACATCTGACAATCAAAGAACTTTACAAAATTCCTAAATATGACAGTGATATACAGTAATACCGGCTTTTAATGAGATCTGTCTAAAATCCTTTGATTCTACCCCTTTGTTGAACTTCGGCTTCATACAGTATGTGGCTCATTTGTTGTGGCATAAATATCGGTAAGCAGAGACTGCAGTTGCTTACAGGCCAACGACCTGTCATGACTGACATCTGGTGGGCCCCCTACACAATTGTAGACTACGACGCCACTTTGCAGATGTAAAAAAAAATTCCTTTCAAACCCACCTGATACTGAAATGAACGACCGTACCATATTTATACCGCAACATATGCCAGATTTCAACATGATGGTGAGCCGTTTAAACACAACACCAATAACAAAGCAGACAGTGGTACTGTTAATTACTATGTTAATAACTGTGTATAGTTCATTAGACAGTTGGTAAAACAATACACTCATATAATGTTTTAAACCGGAATAAAAATCTTAAAAGAATTATGTATTTGAGTGTTTTATTTTTTACACTACAACTTGGAATTATGGGTAACCCAGAGCGTAGTTTAAAACCATAACCGTTACGTTCAATGTGTTAGCGACAATGCATACCAAAAAGAGGTACTTATATGGATTCCAGAAAAGAAAAAGGAAAGAAATGGTGCTGGAAGAATGGAAAAAAAACTTCACAAATAAAGACATTCTTTCAAAGAACTGAAGAGGGAGAGATAGACGTTGCTGCTACAGTGAGTAAAGATTGTGACCAAGAGATGAATGGAGAGAGCGTGGGTGAGGAGGGAGGCTGTGAAGCTCAATTATGGCCGATGGCTTGTTGTTGTGCTAACATGTGGTGGTGCGCTGTCACCAATGGTTCCATTCAAGGTGCTCAGTCACTATTTTTCTGGGTGTGATGTGTGATCATATACTACTCACAATTGCATAATTATATCTTCTTGGCCGATTTATGGAACCGTCGCCGTATCCTGAACCTTTATCATGTGTCGTACTTCATATGGGGCCCACCCAGATAATGTTGCTCACGGGCCTATTGTTGGGTCGTTACACCAGTGTTTTTCCCTCCTGGTCCTCAAGGCACACTGCCCTGCATGTTTTAGATGTTTCCCAGCTTCCACACACCTGTTCTCAATTGATAGCAGATTATCAGGCTTTGCTGAACTGCAATCATCTGAATCAGGTGTGCTGAAGCTCAGAAACACCCAAAACATGCAGAGCAGTGTGCCTTGAGGACCAGGGTTGAAAAACACTGTGTTACACCATTGCTCATTTGGTTAGAATTTTTTTCAAACTGTGGATATTTTCTAAATGAAATTCAAAGTCAAATAGATGTTTCATGGTTTGATTTCAGCCTCCATACACATCCTTATTTGGCTGCAGAGAAAATTTCATGGTGGTTGTTTGGGAAAATGCTCTTTTAACAGACTTCCAGACATCCAGCAATAGACTCTGTTTGTGTCCATAGAAAGGGTTGAAAATGAATGGAAGTCAATGGGATTCAACACATGGTCCTCACTACATATAGCAGAACAGGGGCTGGTCAGTTAATTGCATTTTTAATATAATCCCCATATAACAAAACGCAATTTTCAAATTACACAGGCACTCAGTTTTGGTCTTGTTACATTTAACTCATTTTTTTCTCACTCCATCCCTTTAAATGGTTGTAATCAGAGATGCACCGATCTGAATCGGATGTTGGCTACAATATTGACTAATTGACTGAAAGTGAATATCGTTGATTTGATATCAGAGAACCAATCCAGTGGGACATAATGTGTGTGTTTGTGTGATGGTGGTCACAGACAGAGAGGAGGCTTCTGTTCCTCTCAGACCTCATTATAGCTCTCAGAGAAACTCCTCCCCAACACACGCGCACAGAGCTTTAAAAGGTCAGAGGGCGCACGTGTGCACACACTCACACCTTGCTGTGCTGTTTATCCATCCACTTGGCAACAATAACATGAGTGAAGCCCACAGAACCCTCCAAGGCACGCGGCGCGCGGCAGATCAGGAGCATAACGGCCGATCCGGAGGCTCCACACATTCCAGTCCGCTTTGCTGGATCCCCCTCTGCCGTCATTCAGTCTGCTGTTGTCTCCGTGTTGAACAGCTGACCGCTGTCCAACATCAGAGGCTCCTTCAGCTGAAGCACGGTAGACCAGCTGACAAATGGTTCCTCTGCAGCAATAATTCAGAATGTCAGGTTGTGTTTCAGCTGAAAAGGGAACCAGTTTGGTTACTGGGATCAGTGGGATGGAGCAAACAGTGGAAGGCAGTGGACAGATAGTATTACCTGTGCTGTGAGTTTCACTCCTTTAACTCAAATCAGTGCAAATTAATTCTGCTGCTGTATTTAGCTTTTGTTTAAATCAAAGTCTTTTTCTGTCTCAGTCCAACTAATTTGCTTCAGTGAAATTTGCACATTTTCAAAGTGGAAAAATGTTTTTAACTTTATATCAGTGAAGGGCAGTGAGCTGACCAGTTGTTTGTTTCTTTCCTGCAGGACTTTATTCCAGGGATGCTGCTACGCCCTCACACCTGAGCAATCAGCTTGGTGAGTAAAACAACTTCTCCACATCCAAAGAGAATAAACCTCCATGAACCTTTTCAAAGTTCAGACTGTCCTGCTCATCTTTAAGGCTGGTCTCTCATTAGTCTTTCTCTTTCTAGATTATCATAAGGGATAAATGAAATGATAAATTTATGATTAATCATGCCCTCAAAGGGATGGACATTTAAAGATTGTTTATCATAATAATCATTGTACATTTTTTTCAAAAAAATGAGGGAATTTGGATTTTTTTTTTTTAACTAATCTTCATTTTCTTTCTTTTTTAATTAGAGAATTAACATTTGGAGAATATAATAAAATGCAGTTACTATGGAATACTAATATAAACATACTGATGATGATTATATCTGATATAAATCAATTTTGTTTTAATGGGGGTCCTGAAGAAGCCTGTCATAAAATTTTTTTTTTTTTTTTCATGTGCAGCATTTCCACTGTGAGGCTTTAGTTACTGCTGTGAGCAGTCAAAGCTATACAGTTACCTAAAAAACAAAGACTCCAAATAAGTAATGAGGAGTTTTTCTTTCCTACCTTTGATCACTATCATTATAGTATCACCAAATATCATAATTACATTCTAAGTCCATATTGCTCAGCTCTACACCATAATTATAGAGTGAAACAGAGAAATAGCATCATAAATCTAAAATCCATCCTGATCAGAAAATGTTTTTTCTCCTGGAGAAAGCTGGACTTTAAGGTCTTTCACTCCAATAATAAAACAAATAATTCTTCACCTCTCTGATAAAGATTATTATTGAAGATTTGCTCAGCTGCTGAAGATGTTTTACAGTAGCTTTGCAGTAGATTATTTTCTCCATCTGCTAGGAGAGGTTTGCCTGCAGATCCACCCACAGCAGAGCAAACCTGAAAGGAACAAGCTGCTCAATAAAGAACAAACGCAGAAATGCTGATGGTCTGAAGGACATTTTGATAAAAGATGAAATTGTTCAATAAAATTCAGGACAATAAATGTTACTGAGTTTTTAATTAGTGCTTCTTTCATAGGCCCTTCATCCATCTGCTGTGATTTCCAGAGTTATTGCATTTCTCAGCTCCCTTTTCTTCAGCATCTGACTGCAACTCATTGCTCACATCTTTGGTTCATGTCTAGTTAGAAAACCTAATCTGAAATATGAACCTCGTGTCGAGGCTGGAGTCTAATCTGAACCTGTTTAAAATCACGTGTTGTAATTAAAGAGCGCGCTTGTGAAACATGCATTTTAATGGGAGTAGAAATTACAATCTGCCTGCTGGGCCATCTGGCTGAAGGTCACCAGATCAATCTGCCGTCCCACACACCTCGGTGGGGTACCTGGTTCCTCTGAAACCTGCAGCCCAGGAGATGAATAGGAAAGAGAGATAATGCACTTCACTTAACTGTACTAGTTAACTAAGATCTATGATGGAAGGTTCTTATGGCGCCATAAAGATGACATCATGACCTTCTCATTATCTAAATGTGTCAAAGCGCCATCAAATCCTCCTCCTTGTTATGGAAAGAGAAACTGCATAAAGCATCAAAATACTCCTTAGAGCAGCTCTAGGTTTGTTTGTTTATCCAGATTAGTGAGTTTTTGCAACCTGTGTGATGTGATCTCTGAGGTGCATAAAGGGACAAAATATACAATGAAATAAACCAGCATGAATCTCCTATTAAATAAATTTATTATGAAAAAACTGTAGATTTATTTCTTTATTTATCTGACGCATAATTCAAAAGTTAAATATACCTTTCAATTGTTAAAGGAAAGGTCAGGTCATATTCAGAATTCAAACTACTAATAGTACTTTAAATATAAAACAATTACATACTGTTTAATAAATGATGATAAGTGTTTTTTTTTATTAAGATTAATATTCATTTGAATGGAGGCATCCATGTTTGTCAAAGAAGGTATAAATAATGATCCAATGATTCCCTGCCGACCGGACTTTTCCTTTAAAAATAAATTAAAAATATTAAAGTGACTAAATAAATCAAATTTTACAATGATACATTTATTTAAAATTACTATAAGTAGTTATTAAGTAGTTATATGTATTTTTTTGGGGGGGGCTAACCAGTAGTAGTAGTTTATTCTTGGAGTCTTAGTCCTAAATATCTCCAAAGCTTTTAGGTAGAGTGGAGGTTGTAAATGAGTCCAATGCTGCTCATATTTAAGAGTCCCTTCATGTTGTTCAGCACATCTGCTAGTGCATGAAAAGGTCAGCCTGTTGAGACCTTTGTGCTTCTATTGAGGCACTTTCATTAGGTAGTAAAGATACAATAATAATCTAAGGTACACGCTCCCCTAAGCATTGCTTAGTCATCTAAAAACATACAAGTGCGGGAAGATTTCTAATTATTCTGCCTGAATAAAAAAGCTGAATTTAGGATTTAAAGTATTAAATTGATTTAACCAAATATATAACTCATGCAGTGTAGATGGAAACTAATCAGTGGAAGTAACAGCTAATATGTGCTTTAAAGATTTTGTTGAAATCTTCCCAAATAAGAGATCTTCTAAAATGAACACAGGAAATGAACATGTCTGTTGGACAGAACATGTCCAACATCCCAAATCAAGAACAACAAGGATAGAGAGACAGGATGTCTAACTGGATGGAAGCTTCTGCTGCATCACAGCTCACTGATCTGAATTTAAAGGAAAGTCGCTTTGGATAACAAGCTGGTAGCCACTTTTTTTGCATTCAAACTACGCAGCTGCTCTTTCATCAGTGGAGGCTGTTCAGCGTTGCGTCTCTGACTCATTTAATAAGACAATCCATCAGAAAGCGCAGATTCTACTGGGTTTTAAACATGCAGCGGCCATGTTTGAATCCTCCCAGCTCTGAATTAGGACTTTAAAGGGAAATCCCTGTTGATATTTCCAACAGAATGCAGCAGCTTTAGAGGTATGAGATTTCAGATGTTTTGTTTATGCAGCTCATTCACACAGCCATAAAACGGAGTGAGGAAAACATATTTCAGAGCTTTAATGGTTTACTGTCCCGCTTGTGTTGTTTCTTTAACTCTACATGTTGCCCTTTGTTTGAAATCTGCTGCTCTGGTTTTATGTTTGAGCTTTGTTCATTTTTTGTGCTTTTTTTTTTTGCTCAGACTCCAATTAAGCAGAATATAAGCCTCAGTGAGGAACTTCTGTGTTTCTGCATCTGAAGTAACTGTTAGAGCAGAAATCAGATGGATTTGGGTCACGCTGTGCAAAATTCAGTCGGATGTAAGAAGGTTTTTGCATCCAGCTTAATCTTTAACATCTAAAGATTGTTTTATGACCTTCTAATAATACCATCAGCAAAACATGATCTTTGCGGATGTGATATGTTGCTTTTTTTACTTATTTGAAATGGAGTCAGTCAGTTTGTATTGCAGATTAATCTATTTTGGAAGTTTTGACACATTCTCAATTACTGAAAGTAGAAATCCCTGCACCACTTGGACTTCTGCAAAGCGGACACTGAGGGACGGATTGGGGACACATTGGGCAGGATTAGTTTCTGAGAGGGCAGAGCAGCTCGTCTCTTCAGCATGAGAAGCGATTTGTTGCAAATTAGACTTTTTTTCCCGTTGTGCGTTGGAGCTGCAATTTTCCCAGCTGCTATGTTAAACACATTTCTGACATTTCATCTGTCCAGCCTTCTGCTCCGTTGCTGCGGTTCTGAGATAGGGCGGTGCAGAGGAGTGAGGTCATTGGGTCAAGAAGAGCAGCAATCATGTTGGATGAGCTCATTTCCTGTACGACCTGTGAGAGCATTGTTCCCTCATGCGCTCTGATTCTGATGGACCAGCGTGTCTTTGTGTCTGACGCTGGATCCACCGTGTGAATCAATCCCTTTTTCTCCATCCATCTTTATGAGCTCTTCAGGGAGAGTAAAGGAAACCCACTCAGAGATGCATCATATAAATAACAAATATTATTAAAAGTCTCTGAGGTTCAAATTTAGACTTAAATAAAGCTGATAATTATGAAGAAATTCAAATTTTCATTATCTCAGGAATACTGCTGTATTTAGAAAAACATCAAATGCTGTATTTTATGGCTTTCTGTGAAAAAGTTAAAAAAAACAAGAAACAGGTCATCACTAAAGGGCTCCTGTATTTTTGGAGAAGTAGCCTCAACATGGGCTATTTCAGCGTGGGTGCCACACCTAACACATGATAGCTCTAACCTCGTCCTCTCCAGCAGTGTCTGAACAGTCAATATTGAAAACAGAATTATTTCAGTTAATGAGAGGAAAATATTTTCCTAATTTTCATAATATTCCTTATGAATTTATCATTTCAGTTCCCATCGGGGAGTGTTGGCCTAGTGGTTTAACAGTGGGCTTGTGCTCTGAGAAGATTGCAAGTACCCGATGGATGAAATGGATGGGTTAAATGCAGCGGGTTAATTTCCAGTTGTGGCACAATAAAGGGATTGACATTTACATTGTAAAGTGGTTTAAAGCCCCTCTGTTTAAGCTTTACTGCCATCTAGTGGTAAAGCAAAGAATTTGTTAGGTTTATTCAATGATGATTATAAAATTAATGTGTGCTTATGAAACATTTTTGCAAGGGGATGCTCCACTCCTGTCTCATGATTGAGTCAGGAAACCATCCTGCCTTGTCATTCTGATGGAGCATTCTGTCTTCATGAACTGATCAATTGTTCTGTCAGAACAAATACTGTTTTGTAACCATGTGTCATGTTCTGATAATAAAAGACGGCTGCAGGAGGGGATTCGGAGAAGGAAAGCTTGAAGTTGGGTTGGCATTTGCATCCGCTCCTGCAGAAGCTGCTTGAATCTCTTTCCTGTGTAGACTCAATTTCTATTTATTTGCAAACCTACATTTTCTGAATCTACGTAACAATAATAGTATAATTAATAGGGCTGAGTATTTTCGCCAGATTCCTGAATCGATTCAATTTTGATTAATAAAGTTCTAAATAGATTAATTTCGATTCAATCTATTTTTACAATAATGAAAGTGGTTCAACTGT